CGCCGGAGCCCAGCAGGTCAAGGCTGCGGTGGCCGGGAGCAGCCACTGCACTCCAGTCTGGGCGACAGAGTGAGACTCCAACTCAAAAAAAAAAAAAAAATGTTTTGAAGGGCAGTTTTAATATCTCAGGAGAAAATAAAGAGATCATAATCTGTTCTTCTAGGAAATAAGGTGGTTTGGGCAAATGTGTGCCAAATCTTGTAAGCCCTGTTAAATGGGGTTGTTTGTCCTAGGTCAGTGATCTGGTCTCTTTCCTTACCTTAGCATGGTGATGATGGTGACTGTGGTGACTGTTCAGTGCTGTAACCTTGATGCTTATTCCTTGCTGTTCTCTACTGGTTTCACTTACATTTAAACATTTCTAGCAGCCTATAATTCTTACCTTATTACTTTAGAATTAGGCCAGTGCAAAGAGCAAATCTAGAAACTTATTTTACCAAAATTTGCTTTGGAGAAGTTCTGTGTTGTCTGCAACTTTATTCATAGGAGCCAAGTCTAAATTAGGGTTTTTAGGTCCACTGGGAATGTGGAAATCTGTTATGCCTGCTGTCTACATCTTTATTGCTAAAAAGTGTCATTGTGCTCTAGGGCTGGGGAATGAGGACCGGAGTATCTGAGTGGGTGAAATGATTCCGAAGAAAGAAAGGGTGGCTCACACTGGAGACTGTACGTTACTCTGGGATTTGATTAGTTCCCAGACTTTTTTGTCTTTAATATATGTGAATCCAAGGTTCTAGAGTAGTTTTTTAAAATACTTTTTCTTTCAGCTGATGAATCACAAAAAGTGTCACACGAATAAAGCTTTAAGAAGTTCTCAGAGCCACATTTTCCTTTGCAGGTTGTTTCGCTATTGCTGACTTCAGGGTCCTTACTGCTCATCTCTCTAAAGTGGAGAATGCAGGTTGAATAGTGCTATGTTCCACTTGAGAGGACTCTCAGCTCTGATTTGCACAGATCCAAAGAATTCAAAGATTCTGTTAGTGTTTCCTGACTTCTGTGCATTCCACTTCTTTCAGGCCTCCTTTCTGGGGGAGGCAACAAGGAATGTGGAAAGAACATGAGTTTCAGACTTTCTCAAATCCACTTAACACCATTTATTTAACTATTATATATATAATTGTAATTATAACTATATAATTATATAATAGACAATAATTATAATTATATAATAGACAAGTTACTACATCAGTAAAATGGGGGTAGTAAGACTGAGCTTCATGGAGTTGTTGAGAGGATTAAAATTATGTTTGTGAAGTATATAGCATGACTTCTTCATCCCTTTATCCTTCCAGACCACTCTGTTGCGGAACCCCAAGCTTAGTCAGTTCATGCATGTGTTTTTGCTTTGCTTCTCTATCCTGGCTGCTAGGTATTAGCATGAAAAATTTGTGGTTCATTGTCTGAGCTGAGAGCTTAGTGCTACCAAGCAGCTTTTCTATGTGATTTTAGTCAACTTTCTTTCTGTCCTATGCAGAGGTCGAAATTGTTGACCCAGAAGAATTTGGTTCTATAGACATGTTTGTTTGACCTTGAGATTGTTTTTCACAGTTGGAATTTGTTGTAAAGATCTAAAAATTAGGAGATTTCAAATAAAAATTAAAGTGTTTAGTTTCTCTTGAGAAGCCGGATGACCCAAAAAAGCCTGGAGTGCTGTGGCAGTCACTGACTCTTTCCTTAACATAGGCCCTCTGTCTAGTGGGCCACAGTATTCCCTCCTCCTAGGACTTACGCTGGTCAGTCAGACTCAGAATGCTCTTACCTGATCCCTGTGGGCATTTGCTTTCTGGCCTTGTTCTGTTTCTGTAGGCTCTACCTCCTTAAAATCCCTCAGTCTATTCACTTTCCTTCTCTGCATACCTAAGACCCTCCTTCTTTCTCACCTGGAGGACTGGCAGAGTGTCCCAGCCCTTTTCCTTTTCTCTAGAGTTGTCTCTTTGCGGTCTATCTTCACAGTACTGCAGATTCATCTTTCTAACTTGCATACTCAATCATATCACTCTTCTGTTATGTTCTTATTGTCACTTTGTACTAAATGAAGCTTAAACTTAGCATGGTATTCTAGGTCTTATGTGATCTGGCTAGTACCTCTCCAGCCACTTCACCTCTCTGTGCCTCAGTTTTCGCCTATGGAACATGAGGGAAATAAGAGTTCTTACCTCTAGGCTTATAGTGAGGATTACATTAAAAATGCATATGAAGCAGTGGTCTGTATTTGACATTTATGAAGTGTTCAGTAAATACTAGCTCCTAGTATGGTTAGGATGCCATGTTTTTGTTTGTTTTTCTGGACGGCAGGCCTCCATACTTGGCGTCCCTTCTGCCCTACCCTGAATGTCTCCACCCCTGTTCTTCCTTGACTGTGATTCATCCTTCAGGTCTCAGCACATATGTTATCACTCCTGCATCCACTCCCTGGCCTCCAGAATCCTGCAGCACCTGTGCATACTCTACTAGCACACTTTTCACTTTGCAGTGAAGCTGTCTTTTTTTTTTTAAGTTAAATTGTGGTTTAATTGACAAACGCTGTATATATTCGAGGTGTACAATCTGCAAATGTTTATGTATACATTGTGAAATGATTACTATAATTAAGCTGATTACCATATTTTATCTCCTCATACAGATGGCCAACAGCTATATGAAAAGGTCTTCAATATCACTTATCATCAGGGAAATGCAAATAAAAACCAGGATGAAAGCATCTCATTTCTTATCCCTCTTCTCATTTAGACTGATAAATGAGTTCTTGGCCGGTGTGGAGGCTCATACCTGTAATCCTAACGCTTTGGGAGGCAGAGGCAAGAGAATTGCCTGAGCCCAGGGGTTTGAGACCAGCCTGGACAACTTAGTGAGACCTCATCTCTACAATAAATCAAAAAATTAGTTGGGCATGGTGGTGCGTGCCTGTGGATCCAGCTACCTGGAAGACTGAGGTGTAAGGATCTCCTGAACCCAGCAGGTCATGGATATGGTGGCCGTGAGCATGCCACTGCACTCCAGCCTGGGCAACAGAGTGAGACTCTGACTCCAAAAAACAAACAAATGAGCTCTCTTTGAAGATAGATACTATCTTACTCTTTCTTGTATCCCCAATGGCCAGCTCAGATCTAGGTGTCTTACATGTGTGACAAATTAATGAACGATGTTAGATGGGAGAAGACACTTGATTAATACCAACTGCTGTTATTAGTAGGAAATTTAGAAGATGTGCCATAAGACCTTTTTTATTAATTCATCATTTCAAATTTATCTAGTAGTTATAACTTTTATTTAGTTATTATGGTTTTTTCCAAAATGAAATAACTATTTTTGACCATAAGTGATACATGTCTTTGTAGAAAATTGAAAGAAATAAACGTATGAAGAGGAAATATCACCCTGCAGATATAACTACTGTTATAAAATGCTTTTTTTTTTGAGTTGGAGTCTCACTCTGTCGCCCAGACTGGAGTGCAGTGGAATGCTCCTAGCTACCGCATCCTCAACCTGCTGGGCTCCGGCGATCCTTCCGCCTCAGCTTTCCAAGTAGCTGGAACTACAGGCACACGCTGCCATGCCCGGCTAGTTTTTGGTTTATTGTAGAGACGAGGTCTTGCCAAGTTGCCTGGGTGGGTCTCGAACCCCCGGGCTCAGGCAATCCTCTTGCCTCGGCCTCCCAAAGTGCTGGGATTACAGGCTGAGCCACCGAGCCCAGCCTATAAAGTGCTTTTAAATATATAAACTCAGCAGTTTATCTTGCCCATGCTATCTCCTCTTTTTCTTCTCTAATAAACTTTGAAAACTTAAAATATATATACATATATAAATTCAGATGTGCAATCCAGTCTGTTAAATTACCACAGATTACATTTATACGTGACCATTTACTTACCAATATATGCCCCTTAGTATGTGCTTATAGGTCATTCTCTAATAATGGAGCAGGTTAAGTGTGAAGTACTAATACTCGTTTATGGAAGCCGAGGGTATCTTTTTTTTTTTTTTTAAGAGAAATTTCTTGTTCATCCCCTATGCCCTTGTGTAGCCGTTGACATAGTTAACATGATATTTGCAGGAAAAGGTCTTTCAGATTTTCTTCTCTATGTGTACCTTTTCCTTCTGTTCTTATATCAGGTGTTTTAATTCCATTCTCTACCTCCGTCTCTGACCCCATCAAATTTGTTTTATAGAAGAATCATTTATTGTTTTTTGTTTTGAGTCAGGGTCTTACTCTGTCACCCAGGCTAGAGTGCAGTGGCATGATCATGGCTCATCACAGCTTCAAATTCCTGGCCTCAGGCAATCTTCCCGTCTCAGCCTCCTGAGTAGCTGGGACTACAGGGTTGTGCCACCATACCTGGTTTATTTTTTGTTGAGACAAGATCTTGCTATGTTGCCTAAGTTGGTCTTGAACTCCTGGGCTCAAGCAATACTCCAAAGTGCTGGGGAAGAAGTGTTTGTATATATCTTTGTCCCTTTTGTATAATCTTTTGGTAATTGTCCACTTCCATTTTTGTGACATGTCCCCCTATAGGTAATGATACTAGTTTGCATTCTATAAATTGAGTTTTTGCCAGTAAACCCAATTCCTGTAACTTGGAGCATTGGCTTTTTGGTTTGGTAAGACATCCTATAGCAGCAATAGAGTTTAACCTGCAGTATGAGTAGCCTATTGAATGAACTTTGCTGTTTGGGCTTTGTCTTCTAATTCAGTTCCTGTCTTTGGGATGGTTGGAATATAGTCATCATAATGGCTGTGTTGCAACTGTCTTTTGTAGATAATGTATCCTTCTATCTCCTCAATGTTGTTATTGTTATTTTTTATTTTATTGAGACAGAGTCTCACTATGTTGCCCAGGATGGTCTTGAACCCCTGGACTCAAGCAGTTCTCCTGCCTTATCCTCCCAAAGTGCTGGGATTATGGCCCTGCAGCACCACACCTGGCCCACCTCATCAGGTTCTGTGAATTCACCTCCTGAGTGTTACTTACTACCTGTCCTTACTTACTTTCCAATTTTAGATCACAGATTCTGCTGGCCATATTCTCTATTCCAAGGAAGATGCAACCAAGGGGAAATTTGCCTTTACCACTGAAGATTATGACATGTTTGAAGTGTGTTTTGAGAGTAAGGGTAAGTAATCAGAGCGTTTTCCCTGAATTAAGCATCTTCTACACTAGTGCCCCTGCTACAGTCAGCAGTCAATATCTAGCTCATTTGTGCTCTTCATTTATTCCAATATGGAGTCCTAGAACCTTGTAGTCTTTAGAGTACCTTTTAAAACATTGGCTAGGTAGAGTAAAAGACTGAATATTGGAGCACTGAGAATTTTTAGGGCAATGAAAGTACTGTGACACTGTAATGGTAGATACATGTCATTTATGTTTGCTCCAACATTACATTTGGAATGTACACAAAAGTGACCCTAATGTGAACTATGGAATCGGGGTGATAATGATGTGTCAGTATAGGGTCACGTTTGTAACAAATGCGTACTGGTGGGAGGTGCTGATGATGAGGGAGGCTGTGCATGTGTGAGGGTAGGGGAGATACGGGAAATCTTATATCTTCCTCTCAATTTTGCTGTGAACCTAAAACTGCTCTAACAAAATAAAATCTTTAAAAAAGAGGAAAAAATGAATTGTCTGTTTGCCAGACAAATGCAGAGACAGAGATTACTGAAGGATCTTATAAGAGAGACCCTCTGGGGCCATGATGTCAGCTAAGAGAATAGGCTCTTTTGTGCAAGAAACTGTGTAGCTTGGGTTCTGACCCACCAGAGGTCTGTGGCTTTGTGGTTTCACTTAGACTTGAATAATGCTAATACAGGCATGTATCACTTAACGACAGTGGGGATACATTCTGAGAAATGGTTGCTAGGTGATTTCATTGCCATGTAAACACTGAGTGTACTTACATGAACCAAGATGATCTAGGCTACTACACACCTGGGCTATATGATCTAACCTGTTGCTCCTAAGGGCTACAGACCTTATATAGCATTTTACTGTACTGAATACTGTAGGTAGTTGTAACAGGAGGGCAAGTACTTGTGTATCTAAACATAGAAAAGATACAGTAAAAATAATGGTATCACAATGATCTTATGGGACTATCGTCTGTATGCAGTCCGTTGTTCACCAAAATGTTATGTAGCACATGGCTGTACTGTGCTTTGACAAACAGGGAGATAGTCAGAAGACTGTTAGGAAGAGGATATCTTGATCATTTAGACGAGGTGGGGCTGTGAGCTACTTAGGTTTAACAACTTTTTAAGTGAGGAAGGAAAAGCAAAATTTGCATTACATCTCCTATAGGCAATGTCATAATCAGGATTACACACTGGATATGGGAGAACAAGCCATGTTTAGTGATTGAGTTTGGAAACTTGTTGGTTTCATGCTAGGAAGGCACCTGTGACTTGTCTTGGTTTGTTCTCAGTCTTTACCTATGCAGTCTTATTTCTTGCTTTCAAATTAATCTTTGTAGTCTATCCAAAAGAAAGTCTTTACTGTCTTTTAAACATGCCATACTCATTTCAATATCTGAACCTTTGCCCATGCTTTGCCTTCTGTCTAGAATGCTTTGCCCAAGTCCTACCTTTAGGTGTTTCCTCTTTAGTGAAGTCTGTCCTCAGCTAATTTCTTCTCACTCCCATTTGTTTCATAGCTGAGATTGTCTGAACCAATTGTTTTGGCTTAAAACATTTTTTTTTTTTTTTGAGTTAGAATCTTACTTCGTCACCCAGGCTAGAGTGCAGTGGCACGCACACGGTCACCCCAGCATCAACCCGTTGGGCTCTGGCGATCCTTCCGCCTCAGCCTTCCAAGTAGCCCGAACTACAGGTGCACACTACCATGCCCAACTAGTTTTTTATTTTATTGTAGAGATGAGGTCTTGCTAAATTACCCGGGCTGGTCTCGAACCCGTGGGCTCAGGCAATCACCCGCCTCAGTCTCCCACAATGCTGGGATTACAGGTTGAGCCACCAAGCCTGGTCTTTGGCTTAAAATTTTACACTACTTTGCATTTTTACCATAGCTTAGATCCTCATTATTTGAACGCAGAGATTTTTCCTTGTCTTAGTCTATTGTCTGCTGCTATAACAGAGTACCCCAGAATGTATAATTGATGAACAATACAAGTTTATTTGGCTATGGTTCTGGTGGCTGGGAAGTTCAAGATTAAGGACCTCATCTGTTGAGGGTCTTCTTGCTGTGTCACAATAACATGGTGGAAGACATCACATGGTTAGAGAACACTCACAAGAGAACAAAGGTTTATAACAAACCCACTCCCATGGTAAGTACATTCGTCCGTTTATGAGGACAGAGCCCTCATGACCCAGTCACCTCTTAACAGTTCCACCTCTTAACACTGTTGCATTGGGGAATAAATTTCCAACAAATGATTGGGAGGAGGACATATTTAAACCATAGCATGCCCCTTTAAAATTTCCAGCACAATTTACAGAACTCAGTGAGTTCTAATGAGTAGTTACTGAATTGACTTCAGTTTATTAGTTCAGGAAGCCTCCAGGTCTCAGGCCTCAGAGGGTACAATACCAGTCTTCATGGTTTATGGTCTCTGGAACCTCAGTGTTTAAGTGGCACTAAGCTTCTCATAACTTCTGATTTTGTGCAGGCAGGTTTTTTTTTTATCTTTTGAGTCAGGGTCTCACTTTGTTGCCTAACCTAGAATACAGTGGCACATATCATGGCTCACCACAGCCTCATCCTCCAGGGTTCAGGTGATCCTCCCACTTCAGCCTCCTAAGTAACTGGTGTGTGCCACCATGCCTGGCCAATTTTCTGATTTTTTTGTAGATACAAGGTCTTGCTATGTTGCCTAGGCTGGTCTTGAACTCCTGTACTTAAGCAATCCTCCCACTTTGGCTTTCCAAAGTGCTGGGATTACAGGCGGGAGCCACTGCACCTGGCCTGTTTTTAATTTTATAAATAGGTGCCATTCCGGGCCTTTGGGACTGAATAGTTTTCTGGGGTTTGGAGTCTTTCCCTTTCTCCTATTTGATGATTTAAGATGAGAATTCCTTTTTGATCAAGCTGAATCCAGTGAAGTGCTCTGATATGACTACTGCTTTGTTAGCCCTGCTATCCCAAATAGACGTTTTTCTTTCCAAGAAGCATCCTGAGATTTGTACTTTTTTTTTTTAGTTGGAGTCTCACTTTTCATTGCCCAGGCTGTAGTGCTGGGCTTAGGCGATCCTTCCACCTCAGCCTTCCAAATAGCCAGAACTACAGGCACGTGCCACCACACCCAGCTAGTTTTTTGTGATTTATGGCAGAGACGAGGTATCACCAAGTTGACCAGGCTGGTCTGGACACCCGCCCCCCAGTGGGGGTGCTCAGGCAATCTTCTCACCTAGGCCTTCCAAAGCGCTGGGATTACAGGCTGAGCCACTGTACCGGCCAAGATTTGTACTCTTATTGTAAAGTATTTTTCTTGAGCTGCTGTAGCTCTAAGTGGTTAATGGGAATAGCCCATAACATTTTATTCACCTATTGAAATATGCCATACATTAATCAAAATGTTTGAATTAAATATTAGGTAAAACCTTTGTTCTTTTCCATACTCAGGTTTGTATTAAGTAAACTCAAGCCTAGCATATACCCAGTTATTCTAATTGAGCATGACCTTCTCTCAGTATTTGACAGGCAACCTTTTCAGATGCGTAAATACAGTTTTTCAGCCTAAATTGGTGTCCACTGTCAATCCATAAGCCACTCAGTTTCAAACTGTTTTTGACTTTTGAATTTTATTTCCCAATTTCATAAACCTGTGCGTTTTCTCTTATCTGTTCCTCTGTAGTGCCAGTTGCAGTATCTTGTGTCCTCACTGCTCTGAGATGCCAGCAGTATGTTCTTGTTGCTTTCCGGCACCCCACACAGTTAGAGGCTTTGTCTGGAGTGTTTGTGATTTTAGCCAGAGCCAGGAATTTTCTGCAGCTGAGTAGGGGGAGGAGTTGTGGCTGTTTCCCTCTATTGAGAGGGTAGGGGTTAGGGAGAGGGAGGGAGGGTGGGCGGGTGATTTCCCGGAATTTTAAGTATTCTGCACAATGAATCCTTTGATTTCTTTCTCAGGAACAGGGCGGATACCTGACCAACTCGTGATCCTAGACATGAAGCATGGAGTGGAGGCGAAAAATTACGAAGAGGTATGTCCTGCTGTAGAACCCAGAGGAGACAGCGGCGTGCTGTGCTATGGGGTTTCTGTGACTTATCAGGCCAGTAGGCCGTGCTTTGCCTAGGAGGCTGTGGTTTCTCAGCAGTCATGTGACAGCCAGCTGTGACCTTATTGATACAAAAAGTTGTATTAACAGACTTAAACAATAATTCTGGCTGTGCTGTCAGCCAAAGAACTGAGTCAACTGTCCCACAGAAATCTTGCTGTGTTAATACACACAAACCTATGCCATCAGATATACATAGGTATATTTATATTTATTTATAATTTCTTAAAACTGGAATTCAATTGTGTTGACATCCAAGGTTAAGAAAGGTGATTTTTTTTTTTTTAAACTCCTAAGGCATTTTTTTCCAGGACCAACAGCGCTATATCAATATCTAGGGCATGAATTTGGTGCCGTTTAGTCTCGAACAACTGTGCTATCTTTGAGAAACAATAATCAAAAATAGCTTTTAGTTAAAGTAACTTCAAACTTTTAAGGACTGAGACAGGATAGAGGAAGGAGCTACAAGAGACTAGTGACAATGAACAGAAATTTGATAGTGACAGGAAGTAGTATAGAGTAATAAAAACTTAAATTTATTTGAGTAACAGAGAGGTGGAGATGAGCGTAGAATAAGGAGAAGGGCAGTAGCCTTTTTCATCTCTATGTGAGAGACTTTGGGGACAGCCCAAAATGGGTTTTTAAATGAAGAGCACCTTTGAAAAACCACAAGAATATTTAAGATTGAAGAATTGATCTTTACATAAGGGTAAGAGTATTTTTACCCAGTAAAACAGTACCTCAGGGCGTGAAGAAGAGGTGGGTGTAGGAAATGCAAATGGCTTTTGAAGAATGTAGAGTAAATAAATGAAGGACTTAATCTTAAGTGACTTAGCAGAACTCTCTGGGAATGGTGGGATGGAAGTTGCTTTCTCTTTGTACAGGGCTTTGGAAGGGAAATAGCCTAAAATAGAAGAAGATTGGAAGTGACTGGTTAATTCTGCAGCAGGAAGTAGTACACCAGTTGCAGCTCCTTGGGTCTTTCCTCTTTTTTTTTGTTCAAGTGCTCTTTTGACTGAAGCCCGGGAGTGTCATTTAGAGACGATCAGTAGGAGCAAGTGATACAGTAGAAAATGTGAGACAATCCCCATAGAGACTTGCAATTGTTTCTGTTTCTAAGTTAGTTTAACTAAAAGAACAAGAGAGCCTCTTTATTTGATAAACTTAAGAATAAATTTTAAAATCTTTTTAAACCTTCGTGACTCAAAAGAATTTTAATTATATTTAAATAAGATAACTTATGTTAAAGTGCTTTAGTAAGATCTTTTTAAAAATCTTAAAAAGATACTAAGAAAAATGTAGTTATTGTGAGGTAGAAGAATAGTAAAGTGATTTTCATTTTGCGGGTTACTGCTTCCATACCCCGACTGTGGACCATTCTCTTAGCAAGTGTTCATTGAGTTTGTACTGTGTGGAGTTTTACCTCTTGTAACTTTTTTCTCCAACATGATAGCTATCATTAAGGGTGTTTATTAAATTACAGGGCACCTGATGCCCTATTAGACATAACTAGTTCCCCCCAAAACAAATGACATTAATGGGGGTTAACATAAAGAATCATTTGGGCACCACTATTATATAGCATTCAAAACCCCTTACCTCCTGAATTTCCATCATTCCTGGACTTTATTGACATTGGGAAAGGGGCTTTATCTTTCCTGACCTTCTGCTTCACCCAGGAGGGGAATCCCTAGCCAAAAGGAAACCACAGTGTTTCCTTTGCCTGCTTCCTGCTTCAGATGTCTGGCACGTCCTAAGCCTTTCTTTATGCGTATGGTTACAACACAGCTCTAAGGTTCTGCTTCTTAACCAAGAAACTCCTCCCTACTACTTTCTTTCAAACACACACATCCCAACAGCAGACCAGATTGAGGCAGAGGAGGAATGGTTATGACACGGGCCAAAAAGACAACTCTTTCCTCAGTCCGTGGCTAGGCTCCCTTGAACCTTGCTTAGAAATAGTTGTTAGTTGTCTCTGGCCTAGTGCCTGTGACAAGGATAATAGAAGGACTTTGTTCCCTAGTTAATTACCAGAGAGCACCGAGCATGTGTAGAGTTTTTGAAGCATTTAATTTCAGGTCCTTGAGATAACAGAGAGCCTTTATGTCCAGGGGATTTTGAGCCTTTGGCATCCATATTAAGATTCAAGAAGATGGAACATTTCTTTAATTTTCTTCACATCTAACACATCTCTCCGTCCTATTTGTGAACTCATCATTCTGAAAGCCCATATGGTCCTGTAAAATTCAGTGGTGATTAGTGGATGTCAGCTTTTTCAACACGAGCAGAATCCTGTTTTGCTTAAGTGTTCTGTTAGTCTCTCATTTGCTATCAACAGGTACATCAAAAACACAGTTGCCTTGGTTGGAGCAACAGCTGAAGACTTTCCAAAAAGTTCTGTTTCTCTGAATGCCCTCAGGAAGACGTAACCCTGGTTCCATATACTAGATCCAGATTTCTTTCTTGACATAAGTTAAATAACATGAGTAAGGCATCTGACACATGGTTGGTTGGTTAGCTCATCTGATTTTAGCTCCATTTTCCAACATGTTCTAGAGATGGAAATGGCCATGACCAAGTAAATAGGATCTTTCTAAGTTTCCTTTAGCCCTAAGATTGACAGTATCAACTTGACTTTTTTCGGCACCTGGTTGACCTATTGGACTTCCGTGACTACCTCCAGCCCCATGTACAAATGGGTTTGTCCTGGGATGTAGGCTTCATCTTTACCTTGGCTGTGTTAGACTAGACAGTCGTTTGTTACTTTGCTTCCGGGGTTTGTGGGGACTGTTGTGGGTGCATGGAGGCAGCACATGAATTTGACTGAATTGGGCTTATCATATGTAAGAAGCTTCTCTCTTGGGTCTCATTGCTCCACCAAGGAAAATAATCTAGAGATTCTCTAGAGGCTGGATGAACACCTTTGTTTTAAGAAGCAGTTTTTTGGAGAGTGAATGCCTTTTCTTTTCTTTTCTTTTTTTTTTTTGAAAGCAGGATTTATTGAGAGGACAGAAAAGCTCCCAGAGCAGGAGGGGACCTGAGAGTTGCCCAGTGTCTTTTCTTGGTACAGTTACATATAACTCTGTAGACTCTTTAGTCTCAAATCATCATTAGAATGGAATATTTGGATATGGTTTAAGAAGAGTTTAATATTGCTGATGTTTTAGAGGTGTTATATATGGGAAAAGGCTTTGTAACTTTTAGCTTTTCCAAATGGCACCTACTGTGACAGATGAGAGTGATAGGTACTGAAGTAGAGAAGGCTTTCTCCTGGCAGTAGGCCTGGTGAAAATAAATGCTGAGTGAAAATAGAGGCAGAGTGCTCTTAGCACACAGGAAGCACCTGCTTCAGGGGACCAGCAGCACTTGCCTACCATGAGAGCGGTGGGTTCTTTGCAGAAGGCATAGAGTTGACAGAACAGGTCAGTTACAAGTACTCGCTACGTATCAGGAATTTAGGACTATACGAACTATAAATTGTTTTAATTTCTTTTGAGTTGAGAGCCTAAACTAGTAGGGGGGGATAAACATCAAAACAATTTGTGAATAGGGCAATGTTTGCATGTTAATTGTGTGGCATGGTCTAAGTGCTATAGAGCTTTATGGAAGAGAGAGCATGGACTGGGGTGGTTGAAGGAGGCTTCATGATTAAAGATTGAATGGGCGGGGTGTGGTCACTCAGCCTGTATGTAATCCCAGCACTTTGGGAGGCCGAGGTGAGAGGACTGCCTGAGTCTGGGAATTCGAGACCAGCCTGGGCAACTTGGTGAGACCTCATCTCTACAATAAATCACAAAAACTAGCGAGGCACAGTGGCATGCATCTGTAGTTCCAGCTACTTGGAAGGCTGAGGTGGAAGGATCGCCTAAACCCAGCAGATCAAGGCTACAGTGGCCGTGAGCGTGCTACTGCACTCCAGCCTGGGCAACAAGAGTGAGACTCCAACTCAAAAAAAAAATAGCGTGCTACTTTTTGAACAATAGGTAGGATTTGGGCAGAGTGAGCGTATATGCTTTTTGAAGTGAGGTTTGTTCTGTTCTCACATTTCTCAATAGAATTTTGCAGTTTTGATGCTGAATTAATGCTTTACTGACCCTGAATAGGGAGTTAAGAGACCATAGTGCTGCTCATCTTGGTCCACCATCCTAAGGGCCAAGTAACTTTATGGAATCTTCCGTTTTCTTATTTGTAAAATGAAGTCCCTTGTAGCTCTAATACCTGTGGTTAATAGCTACATGCAGCCAACTAGGGGCGGGCTACCCCCTAGTGGAGAACCATAGTACTCACTGTCATATTGTATACTTTTATCAAGCTGTTGGCAAAACATACCTCTTGCTTCCAGCCATAGAGAAGGGAAGTAGATTAGCATACCAGCCTGCCTTCATGAAATATGTTTGTTTGGCCGATGCTTTGAGCACTAAATCAAAAGTTTAGAAGAGCAGAACAGCAGTCAGTGGAAACTTTGACACTGAGTCTTTCTTTTTTAGCTTTTTGTACTGACTGATATTTAAAGTCTTGCTGATATTCATTGAATGTTTAATCCTGAGCATGTAGAGAGGGTCTTCTTGAGAATACTTATCATAATTTGTTTTAAAATATGACTGGGTGCGGTGGCTCATGACTGTAATCCCAGCACTTTGGGAGGCCAAGGCAGGAGGATTGCTTGAGGCCAGGAGTTCAAGCCCAACCTAGGCACAACATAATGAGACCCTGTCTGTACCAAAAAAAAAAAAAAATCAAAACCAAATTTTACTCTAATCAAATCGAACTTTACTCTGTTGCCTGCAAAAAATAACTGCAGTGGGAAACCTAGGAAGTTTATTCTTCAAACTTTAATAGTCAAACAAACTGGATAACTTGTACTGTATATCTTGATCATTTCACCTTGGATTCAGGAAATCTTAGTGTAGTCATCTGGTTTTCTT